AGAAGTAAAAGAAAATAACGTGCAAAAAAGTTCTTTAAGAGATTAGTGGTATAACATTAACATTTAAAATTTGAGAGAGACATTTTGACAAGTAACATGCTGTGAATCAGATTTTTGTTGCTGAAGGATTGTCAGCAAGGCTTCATCTTTCTTGTGTATATTTTGAAAAGCCAAGAGAATCAGATGTTCTTGTTTCGTAAGCCTACAGACACATGATTTTAACCTGTGGATTGAGGAAAATGAACTTTTATACTGCCCTCAGAGCATGGCCACATTATTCCCTCTCAGTCCGGTTGGCTTAAGAGCAGAATCTATAAGCAGTACTTCAGGGTATAGAAAAATAACAGTAGGAGATGAATATGTAAGTAATAAATATCTTGTTTCCATGGAATTCTGTTGAAGGAAGACAATTAAATACATTTTACATGTATCATCGTTGTTGCGACTAGAGAACTCTCTATGTTATAAGAGAGCAGAGAAAAAGATTATTGAAAATATTTCTTAGGGCTTCACGACTGATTTGCATTGTTTATGTTCACTTCCATTGGTACTAGGGAAAAAAGAGTGTTCTTTTTTTGTTTGCCGACTTTTGTACAATAGCAACATGTGAAACATAAATACTGCTTAATGGGAATGTTTTTATTAAAAAAGTGTTGTTTCTTCCCTAGATAAAATATTCAAAGAACGCATCAAGGACAATAGTTTGGAGAATTAGTAATTAAGTTTTTGTAGAATGTAGCACATACTACTTACATTATCCAGTGAAAAGCAGTGATTCTCTTTAAGTGCTGATCAAAAATCCACCTAACTTTGCAATAAAGTACTATGCTGTGGTATATATAAGAAAGGCTTAGGTCCTTTGCACAGAGCTCACTGTTATAAAATCAAAAAGGTGAAAATTAGTGATATACTGTAGTAAGACAAGCCTTTGAACCAAGTATTTGGAATAAACTTTACCTTTTTTTTTTTTTTTTTTTTTTTTGTTTACTGTTAATAATCTATTTTTGTTATGGATAAATTAACAATAATAGTTTAGAGATTTAGCATTAATATCCTTGAGACAACCTCAAGAGACAGCTCCTCACACTGTGGCTAGATCATCAATACCTTAACAGTTCATCTAAGCTCTTAAAAATAATTTAAGATTCTACAACAGTTCTTATTAGGCTATTCTGGTGCATCACTGACCTTGAAAGGCTTTTCCTATTATAGAACCTTAGTTCTTTTTTTCCGTGCTTATTAAAATCCGCACAGTGTTTATGGACAGAATGGGAAGAGTTATAAAAATAAACTTAGGTAGACATATTATTTCAAACAAATAGTAACTTTTGGTCTAAATATTACATTCCCCACAGTGAAGCTGCAGAATCAAAGTGACCTACAGATAGATTCAATGCAGATCTGTGTGGAGATGAAAAGCATCTGGTAGCACTGTGATGTCATGAGATGAAAGCTTCATTGTAGCTAAGTTTATATTCACGTTGTACCAATTAGCAATTTCAGTGTTAATATTTTAAATTTGGCACGTGATCATGAAGCTTGTGTTTTGAGCAGGTAAAAATGTAATTTCTTATCTTGCTTTTTTCTTGATGAGTTTGTTAGCACTCTTCTTGAATCTTGATTATGTAAACAAAATCCCTCTAAACAGAGACTTGAAAAACTGTTATTTCCAATTCTAGTGCAGTTTACAGATTTAACACGTAATCAGGTTGCTTATCAACAGATATCATTATCACAGAACACCTTTAAAACAATGAATGTATTTCCACAGTGTGAACAGTAAACTCTTTGCTGGAGAAAATACTTTTGAGGAACCATCTAATTGTACTCAATATCCCCGATTTTAACTTTGTCCTGCAATTAAGTCTTTCTACCGTTGTTGATCTGATCCCTGCTGATTTCAGCTCTCTCGTTACCTTCCCTGATTCCTGTTTCTTCTTCTCTTCCTCATAGGATCTGTTTTCTCTCAAAAGAAAACTGTCAAAATGCAACCTCACCTTCCCCTTTTTCTTATGTCTTTTACCTACTTACCAAATTCTCTTGTATTCTCCCTTATCATAGACACAGAAATTATACTTTGGTTTATGTAGTTCAACATTGTTTTTACCCAGTAACATCAGTCTGTTTTCTAATCTGCCTCACATCTCACTGTTTCGTTTTTCTTCTTAGTGTCTCACTTCATTTTATATTAGAATTTTCCAGTTCATAACTGAAAAGCATTTTTAAAAATATGTTTGGGTCAGCATGAAACAAAATGTGTTGGAGTCTTTTTTTTATATGAAATGGAAAACAAAATATTGTTTAGATTGTTTATTCAGTGAATTTGGTTGCTGTATTTGATGTCTTTAAACTTCTATCACCAGAGCGTTTTGTAGGAAGGAGATTCATAAGGTGGTTATACACTAATTATTAAACAACATCCTTTTGTTTATTTCAAACCTACCACCTGTCCCAAAACAAAAGGCAAAATAATTTGTCTTAGAAAAATATTGTAACAAAACATTTAAATTAGACCCTCTGTCCAGATTTTCATCAAGGCTACATCTACCAGTTCTTTCTGTGCAACAGTTCTAAGGTACAGCCACTTGGTTGCATTTCCATCCACTTACAAATCTGAAGCATGACGGAGGTGGTCTCATCCCACCATTCAGCTAGTGAGATCCTTTTCTCTGGCCGTCAAACACAGTCTTGTCCTTCTCACATCCATCAGATTCTGCTGTAAAGGAATGATATTTCTAGCCCATCCTTAGGTAACTGTAGTATCACACTTGCTTTATTTTTCAGTTGTTTTCCGCATTTATTATATCACACAGAAGCTACTTCTCTCCCCTTTCAAAGTACTTCAGGACTCATTCCCACTCAGTCATCACTCATTCACTATTTACTATTTTTAGCATTCTAAACATTATTCTGATACCCATTGTAATCAGTTTAACTGTTATAAACTGATTTACACCAAGTCGCTATTAGAAGATCAGTAAACTGCACAAATATTCCCAATTAGGAAAAGGTGCCATCGTCACCTTCTCTCAGTACAGATGTCAAAGCCCTCTGAGGGTTTGGGGGCGAGTCTTACCTATCTGCTTGCTTTGTATGTCTCTTTTGTGGATTTGCAGCATGATCAGAATGAAACTTGAGACCTAAGCTTTGAACAGTGTCCAGTTAACTGTCATTAAATTTCTGGCCCAACAAAATAGTAAGGTGAATAAGCACCATAGGTATAAAGTGTTACAATTTCGAAAGACTGGAAAGCTCACGTCATAGCTGCAGTTGTGAGACAGGCTGAAGCTTTCAAGTGTGCAGTATACTTTGACTGTTGAATCAAGTTATCTTTATTTTAAACTTCCCATTTTGTATTCTACTGTTGAAGTTAGGAATTGAAAGTTTCCCATTTTGTAAGTGCCAAAAATCAGAGAATGAATGTATGCTCGTAATTCATTTTCAGCAATTTGCAGCCCATTTGAAATTTATTCTTAGAATTGTATAAAGAACTTCTGGAGAAATAACCAAAGATTTAAAATTCAGAGTTTTCAGCTTGGAGGATGAAGTCAGGGAATTTTGTTGAGGTCCTTCTTTAGTAGTAAGATTATATTTGCTAACAAAAGTGAATGTTTATTAATGATGAAGTGGATTGCTGCTTGAAACATCTGCCAAACTTCTTGGAAGTGTTCTATAGAGAAGAACTAGCTAAAATGTCAGTATGAGGGATATTATTGTGGGTTCATCATTTCTTCTAGTAGTTATCATGCCCTCTCTAATGTGAGATTCGGTAATGCATTTGGTCTTTATGTGTCAGATTAATTTACTTGCTTTTAAAGTTAACTTTTATCTTGATGAGGATTTGTGCTATTTAGGTTTTAGAACTGATCTTCCACTCGTGTCAGCTGTTGCTGGAAATGATAGAGACATTTGGAATCTGGAAGAATCAGCTTCACAAAATCATGATAACTCCTTGAAAAAGTGCTGCCAGATTCCCAAATGAGTCAAGCCATATTTGAAAAATCTGTGGATCTAATTTTTTTTTTTTCTGTATTATCAGTACATCCCTTTATGATTCTTTCAGAAGTTCCTTCTCGGCTACCAAGCAAATTGCTGTGACATTGGCTAGATTCCATCTAGTTTCTTGTTTTCAGTGCTGCAACTCTATGTGCCGGTTTGTGAAAGCAAGAAATGAAAGTAGGAACTATGTTATGATTAGCATGGCAGAGTAAAGAAAGCATCGGGTTTTTTTCTTTTTTTAAGGCCAATAATGAGGGATTAAAATGATGAAAATTAATACTAGAATTTCCTGTCAAAGAGGTGATGTGGTGAGAATGCATAAGAGATCTGAATTTTTTGGAAGCTTTCAGGTGGAAGTTAAAGCATCACTTGGTGAGCTTTAGGATGCCGTTCTTCCTTTGCCACCCAAGATAAAGGGTCTATTTTCTAGTATCTCTGTATCCCTAGATCAGTTATATTCCTTGTAAGCTAATTTATTCTAGACAGTGCATTTTTCTATTTGCATGTGATCTGTTATTTTGCTACTCATAAATTCTCAGTCTAGAGAACAACCTTTGCAAAGGACGAATAAGAATTTCCTGCATTTTATTATCTTCAGAATTCTACTAGTGTTTTCCATTTTTTTAGAAGTAAAAGATCCAAGGTTTAATGTTCTCTGGGATGTTGACAATTTACGTTACAGGTCTTATGTTAGCAATTGAAGTAAACAGGGACCATAAGGGCTGCTCTTCATCTTTTGTTATTATTTCTCCTGAATTAGGAAGCAACAGAAACACAAAATTAAGAATTATTTTAATTCCAAATTGCTTTAGTCTTTGTTACCTCTAACATGTGTCAACTTAGTATATATTAAGGATGTACATTTCTTATTGGATGATTGAATGGAACTTCTGTTATTGTCAGTAAAGTTGCTTTCCTAATTTTCTATGTGTTATTCTGAAAATTGACTTCCCAGTAACATCATTCCATAAAATATGTAGAAATTTTTATCTGTTTTATAGGGTTGTGACTCTCAAATGAGCATGTCAGAAGTGTCTTGCAGTGAAAGTACCTCCTCCTGTCAGTCTCTGGTACATGGCTCAGCTCCAGAAATCCTCATTGGCCTCCTTTATAATGCTACAACTGGAAGATTATCAGCAGAAGTGATAAAAGGCAGCCACTTCAAAAACTTGGCAGCGAACAGACCACCCAGTGAGTGAAAATCTTTTTTCATCCTAATGCTTCTGTACTGGTGGGGCTCTCGGTAGCAAGGACTTCAATCCTATCATTTAGTTTTATCCAATCAAAATGAAATAAGAGCAATCATCAACTAATCTGTTTCATGTTTTACATTTTTAGTCAGTTGGGAAATAGCAAAAATCTAAAATTCAAAATATTAATTGTAAGTTGACAAGACTGTTTTAATTTTTCATGATGACTGACTAATAAATTACCTTTATCATAATGATTAATTGCTAAATTACTAATGCCTCACATCACAGGCCAAGAATACGAAGTTAGTGTTTAAAGAGAAAGTACATGCCAGCTAATATTAATATAAACACTCTGAACAGTTATTGCTCTTCCTAGAGAGGTTGATACTGCAGTCTTTAATTGCTTATGTGTCTGTGTATATGTGGTATTAATATATTATATGTAACTTGGGAATGACAGTGAAGACAATGGAGAAACAAATTGAGACCTTTGACATATTCACTGTGCAGAAGGAATGTTCACCATCAGAAAAGACTTGAACTGTGTATTCAAGCATTTGGTCAAAAATACATTTATCTGAAATATCTGTGAACTTTGTATACTTCTACACTGGAGCCAGATGGAATGTCATGCACACAGAATGTTTTTACTGTCTCTAATACTTTGATATATAATAGCTTGAGCAAGTTCAGTAATTAACTTTTTTTAAATTATTTTTTATTGGTTTTTAGACGATGAGTCTGATTTATGTAAGTTGTAGCCAGACGTATCTACCTGCTCCTCTTGATTTTGTCTGCAGGCTCAGGTTTTAGTCCCTCTTTCTGTTTCTTAATCCCCAGATTTGTATGCTGCTAGCAGATTATCTGGCACTATTCGATTACGTAGCAGGCTGCCAACATTTTATAAGTGGTTTGCACATCTCACTTTGTCTTCAGCGTTCAGGAAGTAAGCCAAACAAATTGAGGCTGATGCTCTTCTCTTTCTTTCTTGACCCATGTTTTATTTTATTCATTAATTACATTTGGCTCATCCTTACTCTGCTTTGCTTTCTCTGTACTTTTCACACTGATGGAGCCAGACTTTCTTAACATAGTCAGAGAAGGAAGGTGAAAGAAGAATCTCTAATACTTCTTATATGATTAGGTAGCTGCCCCAGAGTCACCTATTTGGAGACAAAGCGTAGAAATAGTGGGGAAGGCCCAAGGACACTGGGGTGGGGGAAGAAATGAACAGGAGAGGAGACCTGGAGAGAAGGGACCATGTGTTCCCTGAAAGCGAAAACGGTAGGTGGCTTATGCTTATCCTTCTGGAATCTCTAGAGAAAGCCAAGTTTTTTTAATATTTGGAATATGCAAGTTAAACGGGGATTCAGTACTTGTTTTGGAGACAGATCTGCTCATTCCCTGGTATGTTAATTCCCAAAATGTTCTCTGTGGGCCCATGCTGTCTAGCTAACTGTTGTGTGTGTCACTGGGGTCAAAAATCTGTTTCAGATCGCAAGAAAGAGGTATAGAACATGGCATATAGCCCTGTGATACCATGTTCTGTCTGACCTTTTTTGGAGGGAAGATCTTGTGTGTTACCTTTTGTCATTCCCTGTGAAGGACAGGGGGAAGTTTTGATATTCATAATAATAATATTCCAGTTCTGGTTAGGTGAATGCGGGTTTGGAGTTCTGTTGTTTCTAGAATGCTGGAAACTATCGCACTTTTTAGGTCCAATAAGACCATGCACAGAATATTGTGGAATCCAAATTTCTCCTGTGGGCTGTTTTGTGCTGTCCCCCTTCCCCCCAGCAGTGGTAGCACCTTCTTTTGAACTCCTGGACTCAGGTCCATGCCACTGCCATTTCCTAACTCCCTGTCAAGTACATCGGGGACACATACCAGCCTCTCTGTGTGCCATCATTTTTACCAAATGCAAACTAAGGCCTCTAGGGATGATGATGAAATGCTCTGATCACATTTGATTTTGGGGCCATCAGTGGTCCGGAGTCCTGAGAAGTACTGCAAAGTACATGCGCAGGTCAGTTTTCATTCAGGTCTTGAGAAACTATGATGGAAATGGAAGCAATTATTCTTTCCCACATGTGATCCTTTCTGTACTCTAGGGGTTGTGAACCTATGCAATTTTTGTGAAATGCTTTTGCAGCAAATATGACCCAGTCCTACATTTCTGCTTCTTCACAGTACGTGCTCCTCTGTCACATATTTATATGTTACGTAGTAGCTCATCTAGCAAGAGTACAGGCAAATAGGCCAAATCCTGCAGGCAATAATAGCTCATGTTAGAACGTGTCTTCGTTTCCCTGTGTGACAGTTAATATTTTGTCTGAGGAAAAGGTGCTTCTTAATATTCTTTAAATTTTTTTTTTGTTGAAATAGGGTATGAGCTTTTTGCACATTAAATGCATGTATGTGTATGCATGCACACGCACATTAAATCCATAAATACATGGATTTTAACAAGTGAGATCTTTACATTTTAATTAGAGAGATGTAGTTGAATTTCAGATGTAAGCATCCCTCAGCTATTTTTAGAGATTAGATCAATCATTCTCGTGCCCAAGTCCATCACTACTCAAGAACTAAAGTATTACAATCAAATATCTGTAACTATAAAAGCTAAGGCAAAGCCAGCTTAGTTTTCAGTTCAGTGATTTTTCATTTTACTGCTTTTAATATATGAAGTATTATTACTGTGTGCAATTTTTCTTAATATGCTGGAGTTTGCATGAAAAAGCATAAGGTTTGGTAAAAAGGCTACAGTGATGATTTTTTTTCCCCAGTCTTTTATAACCTAATCGTTTGCATGATTCTTTCTATGTTGAGTGTGTTTTAAAACCCAGTAGCTATTAGTGCTAAGATAACACATTATGTAAGTGGTGTAATTTTTGTTAAAGATTACACAAAAACTGCACAAAATTTTCATTTCATTAAATTTTTACCCAACAATCCTTCTGTTCAATCCTTTTTCTGATCTATGCTGCCAAGGTTTTGTGTTCTTCCACTCCAGTGAATAGTGTTTCCTCTTAAACTTTAACCTTTGATCCTCTCTCACCCAACTATTGACATCTGGTCATTATTTCTTTTACTGCTTTCCACCCCCTGTTGTCAGACGGACTGTTCTGTTGTCTAAAACACTTGATAGGTGGACAGGTTTATATAATCCGAGGTGAGTTCCTGTAGAAACTAACTGGATGTTGTCTTTTTCATGCAAAAGAAAACTTGCCAGCAGTAAAGCTATCCATGGCTGCCTACCATATTGGTTTATAAAAGTATATGCTTATTATTTGTGGTACTCTCTAATGCAAAAGTTGCATTTATCTCTGATTATGGATGTTGGAATTTCAGCATACCTGCGAAGTGAAAATATTAATTGTATTTCTTTTTAGATAAACTCCAATCTTTTAATAATATTATTCATTAACATGAATATAGCAGGAATAAAGAATGAAACACTAGATTGTTAGATTGTTTTATACAGTTTTATATTTCTTAAAATCAGTTAAATTAATGCCCATCCTTCTGCAGGAGCATAGTTTGGTGCTTCTGGTCAAATGAAAACAGAACTTCAAGAATAAGGGTTTACACCCAAATACTAACACCCAGTGTGTGCTAACCACATTTACTTGCACCAGCTTCTTAAATGTACTTCCTAAGAGCACTGTACAAACTATGTTTTAAGCAACCATCTTGAAGTAAGTTTTTTCATAATTCTCTTTAAAGGTGTATTAAATGTATTCCTTCATGAATCTAGGAATTAGGAGGGGTTTTGTGTTGTGTAAACTTCCACCTTTGAGTGCATTTTGCTCTATTTTGGTCTTAAAAGTAAATAAAACTGAAAAGCCTAAAGTGAGAACCACATCCATGCAGAGATTATTCATAAGCATTTCATTCTGGCTGTTTTGGTATCATCATACCTTTTTTTTTCTCTTCATTAGTTGCCTTCATTCCACTTTGTTTATTCTTATTCTCTGAAAATTCAGTGGTATGCTTTACAGTGTTGTGGCTGTTGAAGCTTGCTAAGTGTTAATGCAATTAAATTTTGTTTTGAGCAAATAAGGGGGGACAATGGGAAGAGGATTATGAGGTATACCTTTAACCCATTTACATAGTACTGAAGCTAGTTAATTTGTAGTGTGTTTGTAATATTTTGCTTACTTGTCATCTTTCCATGTGTCCAAACTATGTGTTCAGTCAGCCTGGTATACACCATATCCTTGTTCCTTCTAAATATCTCATTCTCTAAAACTTTTGTTCTAAGATATCTGACATTCCAAAATATGATTTATTTTATAGATACATATGTTAAGTTAACACTGCTGAACTCGATGGGGCAAGAAATGTCCAAATGCAAAACTTCAATCCGCCGAGGACAGCCAAATCCAGTATACAAAGAAACCTTCGTTTTCCAAGTGGCATTGTTTCAGCTTTCAGATGTGACGCTCATACTGTCTGTATATAATAAGCGCAGCATGAAACGAAAAGAGATGATAGGGTGGATTTCCTTAGGTCTCAACAGCTCAGGAGAAGATGAACTCAATCACTGGACTGAAATGAAAGAATCTAAAGGACAGCAAGTATGTAGATGGCATACTTTACTAGAATCATAGTGGACAATATAAAGTGCAGTTGTGGTTTTAAGGGAGTTTGGTCTCTTAGGATGATGATCATCCCCCGTCACAATCAACAGATTTGTTGTAGAAGTAAAAAACAAAAAATGAGGTCAACATTCCATCGTGAAGAAATGCACAACATGCAAAATGGTGGGATTTAATATATAATCTTCGCTTAGTGTCAGACACTTCCTTGGTGTCAGAGAAGCCTTGCTGTACACAGATACATTAGCAGTTCCTCCCCCATCCACCTGATGCTGTATTTGTTTGGGTTTGTTTTGTGGTTTTCAATTCAAACATTTTATGTAAGGTTCTCCAAATGAATGTAAACTCCTCCTTGTGTATTTTTTGTGTTGCTCTAATATTGTAGCTTCTGACCTGCCTGCATTCAGATTAAAGGTCAATAATTTGCACTCTGAGAAAAAGTTAATGATCTGTAGAACAAAAGAAAAAAAAATCACTGGTGGAGAACACTTAGTGATATAGCATATATTAATATACTGTTGTTTTACACTGAGTTTCTTTTCAGGAGTTTAGTGCAAGTAAGTTTGCATTTTTTGATATGTGGTTGGTTTGAAAAATATTAGCATTTGGGCATCAGGTGAACTTTGACATCAAACTAATGTTTCTTCAATCTGTGACAGGAACGAGCTCTATATATGGCATAAATTGGGGTTTTTCCTCTTGCCCATACTTCTGCCTAATCCAAAGAGACCAGATCATTAGTTGGTCCCTTCCAAATCTCCTTAGACAGGTTGTACTGTAAAACTATGTAACTTTCTGTTGAAAGCACTTCCTGTATTCATGTATTCCAATGTAGGAAGCTCATAGAGCACGACTTTACTAAAATATATTTTCATTAAACAAATCAATATGGTTTTCTTTAAAATGTCAGCAGCTGGAAGTTAGGTTGAAAGACTGAAGGAAGCAGCAACAGTTGAACTGCTCTGAACGAATGTGAAACGCTATGGCTTTTGTTGAAATAGATATCAGTTTTAGTCTCTTTGGAGCTGTTCTAGGGACTACCATATGCTCTTTGTTGGAAGTAGGGAGCAGACCAGGACTTTTTACCTTTCTTCTTGGAGAAGAGAACATCAGTAAGATGTTTTTCTAGTGATTTGCCAGCAATTGAGTGAATGTTCACACCCAATATAGAAGTTTGCTTTGCTTATGTTCAGGTTGGGAAATAGCAGCTTTCTAACACCACAATTGAGAAGCCACAGTATCACCAAAAAGTTTGCCATCAGATAAACACTCATGGCTTCCACCAAAATTAGGCAAATATCAGTGCTTCTGAGATTCCTGTTTGTCCCAAATACTTTAACTGGAATCACACTAATTTACTTATTGCTGAATCTAATTCATATTACTGAAATTGTGGATTATTGAGTAAATATTTTTAAAAAGCTTCCCAATTAAAATATTCTATTTGCCTGTAATTGTAAGTTTCATTTACTTTTATTTGTTGCTGTATGGAAAGCAAGTGATTTTTTTATATATGGTGTCTTACTAATATGGGTCCTCACTGACTGATGGGTAAAATAATGAAGTTTTAGATTTTGTTGAGAGAATTAGTAGTGGCCTAGAGTGTCCTCATTAGGACCAATGTTTTTCTCTTGAATTTCTTTATAATACCTTTGAACCATCCTGGCTTTAGCATATACAGACAGTCAAGTACAGTGAGATTGGAGACAGTGAGTATGCTATGAAAAAGAAATTTCATATGGTTCTCAAATTCTCACATTACTTAATGAAATTGTTAAGTCCTTTTTAAAGGATGTATGTTGTAACTCCATTTCTTGGTTTATTTGGTGCCTTTTGAGGGGTTTATTTGCAGAGATAGGCTTTCAGGTTTTGTTGATTTAAAGATTTAAAACATTATTACAGGCTTTGGGTTTTTTCCTGGTATTGTGCTGCTGCTTCGTTTACAGAAACTTTATTTACTAAATACAAATAATGCAGAAACTTTCTTTAAACAGGAATGGTCTTGCAGTAATACAATACAAGTTGTCTCTCTCAGTCCTTTTTGTTGCTCAGTTTGTGAAATGTAATGTTGAGTGTAGAATTTAATAAAAAAAAATGAACATTAACTTTATATGCATAAGGAAAATTCTCAGATTTTCCCTATTCTTTCAGCTTTCCATACAATAGAAACACTGACTCAGAAGCTGTTCAAAAGCAATTTTTCAGTGGATGTGAAGTGTTTTCACTCATTCTGTTTGTGGATATTTGGATGCTCTTTTCTAAAGCTGAAAGTTGTCTCTTGATAGTTGTCTCTTTGTACAGGTTTTGCTTTGTAAAATAATGCACAGTATTTAACAGTAAGAACTGAACAAAATAATTCCAGTGAAGACTATAGTTAACATCATCACTAAACAAATGAAGAAGTCATATTTGGAAGGTGCATCAAATCACCTCTTACAGAACCAAACTAAACTAAACTAGGTTGCAGTGCTTCAATTTTACATCTAACCATTCAGATTTCTAAGGCACTGAAATCTTAGTTTAAACACAGCAGAGATTTACAGTAGTCTGTGTTGGGCACATTTGGGAAGAGGAATCTCTTTCTAGATCATGTTCCCAAGGTATCTGGGTCTGGTCTGTGCTTCACAGAAAGAGATTTGGCTTGGGTTTATACCGTACAAAGACTGGGAACTGAATGTATAAAGAAGGGAAATGAATGTTAAATTCTGAGGCAGTAGAGTATGGATTTGCCATTCAAAACCAGTAATACCAGTAATTGGATTTGCCCTGGGATTTTTGAGTTAGTTATAGTATCAATAGCTTTCATGTTATTTTTTCTCCCTAGATCCCGTTCTTATGATTTGTTTGTAATTCTGTTTTCTTAATGCTTTATGCAAACCTATACTTTTGTATTTGAAATCTGCTTTTAGATACTGGGGTTTTTTTAATCCTGCATAAGGGCTTATACATACAGTATGGTTTTGGTCATTCAGTTATGTCTTAGGCATGGGAAAGAATTTCTAAAGAACAAGGTATCAGAAACAAATCAGAGGCATTGGTGTTTTCCTCAGAGACGTCTTTTTTTTTTTTTCATAGCTTTTTGTTGTTCACCTTTGTTCAGAAGTACAGTAAGTGCTTGGAAGAGTTTATCAAACTAATTACTTTGCTGTGTGCCAATATACCATGTAGAGATAAAGTTCTTGAATTGAATCTGTTTCTTGTCAGTGTAGCCTTAAATAATTATAGAACAATGACATTCTTACAGATTCTATACTTGAAAATATTGCATCCTTGATCAATTTTATTTAATGTTTAGAACATTTCACATGGGTCTTCTTAAGGTATTACGAATATAAAAAATTGGTTAGTTCCTTTCTGTAGTAAGGGCAAGATTGTGGAAGGGCAGTCTAGGCAGGCACAAAATTGTTGCGCAGAAGGATGAGAGGTTGTACAGTGTCTGCAAGACATCATTGTCTTCCACACACATGGAGGCAAAGAGTCAGCAGAGCCATGCTTCTGTTCCCCAATCAGCCAGGTAGCACAGGCAAGGAGGATAGTACTGATAAGATTCAAAGCTTGGTCCCCAAGGCACTGCCTCATGCTCAGGACTTAAGACATCCATGCTGTAACCACACTGTGAGGTCTGACTGCAGAGACAGAAGTTAGGCAAGGTGTAAGTGCTGCTACTGGAGAAATACGACATAATTTCTAAATCCAGTTAAAGTTCTCTAACTTAATAATTAGATGTTGAAATATGGTGAGCCCTTGGAATGACTGTGTGTCTTCTTACTGGAGCTGAACATTTATCAGTTAAGACAGTACTTGAGCTGAAAACAGATTTTATGGCATACACTGTACGAAATACTTTCACCTGTAAATTTTTGCAACCATTCCTGATGGCAGATGCAGTGCCAGCATCAGTATCTTCCCATTTTTCACACCTTTGGAGCAACTTTTTTTGTTGTCTAAAATTTGTGTTTGTGTTACTGGTTTGTTCTCTTTTATCCCTAATGACTTGCTCCTGCAAACTCCCCAGCACCCTGAGAAGCTGTCTGTGGCAGTCACCTTGACCTCAGAAGTCAAGGGCACTCTGCACCACTTACAATAAGGTATTGGTGCAAAATTCCTGAGACCTGCCCAACTCCCTAAGATTTCTGAAATGTTTTAATATAGTGAAGCAGAAGAAAATATTTTTCCTTGAAGTAGATGTTTTAATGTAGGAATTTTATACAGATTGCTCTTACACATGCAAGTTTTAACAAAAAGTCTGCAGTAAAATCAGAGAATGAGGTTTTAGTGGAAAAATTTTGGCCTGGCTGTTCCACCTTGAAGCTGACAGCAGAATTCCCTTTCATTTAACTGGAAGTTGTACTGAGCCATTTACTTATTCGTCACACTTTTCTGGAGGAAAAAAAGCTGTCCTGTTTAAGGCAGTCTTTGAAATTATGGCTTGTCACCTGTAAGGCAGACTGACTTCCTCCTGTAGCTGAATTCTCAGTAACAGCTAAACATCCATTTAATTCTCACACTGATGTGCATACTTGCCTGACATTAATGTTAATGAGAGGAGCCCATGGGCATCAACAGGGGAGGAGACCTGACCCTGAAGGTGTGAAGTGCAATAGGATCAGTGGGTTAGAGCAGTGGCGCAGCATGGCGCCTGCAATACAATCCCACAAATGGGATTTCGATTATGAATGGAGGTAAAAAAACCAAATATCCGTATGCTGTCACAAACTTGTTATTTAATCATTATCTCTTATTTTTGTTTCTTCTTTTTCCTCAGCTTCTGAAATATTTTCAAAACTTAATATTAAAAATGTTGAAGCAATCCCCAAACATCTTGATCCTTTTAACTGGAACATTCAGCAAAGTTTATTGTTAGAACGAGCCATCAAGAATGTTCTGTATTTTTGGTCTATTTAACTCAACTGCCAGATTTTGTAGTGCATCACAGCTGGATTTCAGACTACTTTGTTCCGATGGTAGTTTTTGAGGGGAAAGTCACAGGAGCATTTGCTTGTCAGTGAATCAATGCCTGATGAAGAGTTGTCATCTGGGAGTGAGAGCATTAAAATTAGAGATGGCTTCATACAGTGGCAGCAACAGTGACTCAAACTCACTCTTGAAGCCGTGTGGCCCTCGGAGGGCCTTACTCAGAGAAAGCGTGACGTGAATTGTGGGAGTTCATACATTCAAAGCAGCACCAGCCTGTGTGGCCATTCCATGGCTTCTAACCTAGTGTATTTTACAGATGGAAGCAGGGTAGGTGCTGTTTATTTGCCTAGGGTGAGTACCAACAGGCCTACATAGTTTAGCCTTAAGAACTTATCACTGACTTTGCTTAAGTTCAAGCAGGGTTTCTTCCTTTCTGCAGACTATGCAGAGATCTTGTGCACCCAGTGTATCTGCTTATATTATGCCTGTGACTATGGCACAGTTATATTAATGCTAGCAAGCATAGTTCACACGTAACATGGTGTGACTGAATAAATGGGTCTGATACGTGCTGGATCAGGTTTTGCTGTGCCGGCTTATGCTGTTGTAATACAGAAATAAGATCCTTATGCAGAGGAATGTGCCAGGAGTCAGGAAAGTGGGTAGTATTGCTCCTGTAGGAATGAAGACCGGGAAACAGCTATGCCCAGGAAATGGGCAAGGCTCACCTAATAGCAGGGAGAATTAATTCACTTCCTTGGAAGCATCTACTGGTTGAGCTGGCATAAAGCCTTCAAAAGCTGCCTGTCTCTAAGGACCCTGCTCAGGAGAGTAGAAGCAGTAATAATATACCACTGAAGGAATACCTCATGGACATTCAGGGATGTAATTAACGTCATCCTTGTTTTCTCATATATCAAGACAGGAGTCTTGCCATCAAGTTAATTTTTTTTTGTTGTTGTGGACATTTCCCCTGTGGACATTCACTGCATGCTAAGGGTCTAAAGTGGATTGCTTTCTAACTTTTGGTTCATCTCCAAAGCATGGGTTTGAATGAGTTCACAGAATTAACTGGAAGCATTATCATAGCTTTGAGATGTAATCTCTAGGCCATAGTGCAAGCAAGGAGCAGGGCTTTGAACAAGCTTTGATAGTAAATTTTTCAAATGGCTTATGATGATGTTTTAAGAAATTTCTAAGCAGTTGAATGTATTAGGGAATATTTACAAAAAAGGAGATAGAGCAATGATCTTTTTTTACTATACAGCTAGTTTGCTGTCCTTTCCAGTAAACCACAAGGTTCATTAGTGCTCAGTACTGTTTCATTTACAATAACTGTTTTTAATGTGATTTTCATGAAAAAGTGTAATTAGTGAAACCTTTTATTGAATTTTTCCCTTTCTTTGCTTTTTTTAAGGAGATATTTCTCCTTATATAGTATATATATACTTTCTTACAGAGCTTTCTTACCTATTTTTATATAAGATGATTTAACAATTTAAAATTAAATGCTCTATGAGCAAGCTATATCACTGTTACGCAATCTAAAGTGCTAATATAACGACTAAGGGCCTGAACCTACTGCCTTTTACTCAGGTCCTGGTTTAACCACATGTCTTTCATGCTGTGTAGTACCTTTCCCTATAAGCAGTTCCCTCCCTTTCTCCAGGAGGACTCAGAGAAAGGCACTATTAACATGAATAACAGTGGTAAAACTGAGCCTCCTCTCCATTCTTAGCAGGACATCTGTCATCAGTAAAGGCTGCTGGCTCTGTCCCAAAAGTATAGTTACAGATTATAGTTCCCTTGATCTTCAGTAATTTTGAACTTGCTTTCTAGTGACTATAAGCTAATAATTGATCATAGTGAATAGAAATATTGAATTGTGCTGTTATCAGCAAGATTTTTAAAATGTGTTTCACATTTTAATTCATTCTTTTATTGGGGTATAAGGAATTGGTTTTGTGAAGCATTATATTGCATAGAGACAGCACACATTCACGGTATTTTTAAAAAGTATGAAATATACAGTATGTAGCATTTTCTTTCATACTTTTATACTGCCTGTATGCCACCGATATACTCGGTGCCTTCTTTCTTTTGTATAAAACTAATACATAGGAAAACTAAAGTTATGGTGTATAAGCAATGTCACTGCAACTGAAGAGATGTCTTAACCTGATTATTCCTAGTACAGGAGGTTTCAAACGGCAGTTCAGTTCAACACAATGTATTTCTTTGAATTTGAAGCTTTCCCCTTTCCTTCCTTGCCCCCCTTTCCAAGAAACCTCCTCATATGACTGTTTATTCTTAATTGATTCCTGTGTCTGATGTAAGTCACATGGTGTTAACCAAAGAACCAAGTCTGTTTCTAATTCTTTGGACAAATGATGTTTGGACTTGCTGTTACTTAAAGACAGAAATGATAAAATGGATCTTTTTGAACAAATATAAAATAGGCTTCTGTAAATGTGACTCATAGCTGAAAATTCAAGATACCTCTTTTTTTTTGACTGATTGTGCATTGTTGTATCAGTAGCAAAGTGTTTGAGTTTTATTTCTTTGTGCATTTTAATCAAAGTCCCATCACAAGCAAAAATATAAGTCGGCCAGTGCTGTCAAAATAGCTTGTTTTTCTCATTTTATACCTATATCTGAAGTGTGCAACTTTGAGAACAGATTCAGTTTTTCTGTGTCTGAAGTCCTGATACTATATAATAACTGTCTATTGTGTGCTGGACTTAAAGAAACAGACTCATGCTGCATTGTATGTACATTTCCTACCAGTATCCCTTTGTTGTGTAATTTATGTAATATAACAGTTTTCAACTACTGTTTCAACTTGAAATTCCTTAAATTTCAGTGCATGTATAGCCTTAAACATTTAAGACACCAAGCACAGTTTTAATGGGAATAGGTTATATTTGCAAGTCCTGTTTGGCACAGAAGTCAGAGAACTATTTTTATATATCAAAGGCTGTAGAAAATGGGTCTATTGCAGTCATGTTATCAACCATGCTCCTAATGATATGCAATTTTTAAGAAAGCATTTTTGCTGAAGTTTTTAGGGTGAAATATCAGTGCTCATTTCCTTTCTTGAATTTGCTTATTTTGTTTTCATACTTTCATTTCTGTACAGAACCTTGGAGCCCCTAATTAATGTCCATGACTGAATTCACCCCTATTTTCAGAATTCCTTGATCTGCTTTTCTTCTCTGCTACATTCTTAAGTTGAATAAGCAGTAATTAAAATTCTTGGGGGGAAAAAAAAAAAAATATTTTGTCAGTAACATAATTAGAGCAAATGACTGTTTGCAACTGTTTATGCAGATTATTAAAGTTTTAGGACTTTGTTTGAAACTGTCATAATCTAGATGAAGGCATATGCTTCATGGCATTTCAGTCCACAGCAGGTGAAAACAGGAGTCCTGGTGATGAACGTGCAGATCCTGCATATTGGGTGTCAGATTTTAAATCCCCAGAGGGATTTGTAATTAAGTGTCACATTGTATCTACAGTATCTCCAGTTGTGTGTCACCAGATACTTGTGGTTTTGCTTTGTTTTCATTATTATTACCTAGCAAAAAAACTACTTTTATCATTTTGTGCTACGGTATATTAATCTTGAGGGTTTCCGGTACGCAAGGTTGGTTTAATGTTGTCAGTTCTCTTTTTGTAAAAAAAGCTGGACTTTCAGCACATGCATGTCATTACTATTCTGATTTTGGGGAGAGGCAGAATGCCACCAGCTGGTTTAAGTTATACTTACCTGTACAGCACAGGTAACTTTAATGCCATGTTAGTTTGATTAAAACATGCTATAGTATATTTTCAAATCATGGATCTGTCACAACATTAAAATAGTCATTTTGCATATCTGAAGCTTTGCAGCTGTGGATTTGTGTTTTGTTCTGTTTGTATTGATTATTCTGTGAAATGTATTGTCAGTTTGAGAACTGGAATGGGTATCCTTTGGTTATTTCAAAGTATTTTCTGTATGTGGAATCAGCTTTTTGCATGTGAACTTCATTGCTGGAAAGTATTTGGAGAAGAAAAAAAAAAAAAAGGAAAAATCACTTTTAAAACTGGTTGGTGTCACTTTCCTTTGGAATTCATTAGATTGTAAAAAAATGTAATAGGCTTAACTGTTCAGAAGATAGTAACACTTGGTGAACCATTTGAACTGCTGTCTGCATTAAAGAGAAGAAAAACTTTTTTTTATTTTGGCCAGCTAACTAATCCTAGCCCTTACACACTTTTTGGCTCCACTTCCAAATGTCCTGTTTCCCCAGTTCCTTTTCTGTTCCTCACAGTCTTTGTTGATATCATGAATCTTATAGTTAGAGAGTTTTAAATTAACCAGTGTGATAACGTTCTGACAAATATGATGTGTATACTGGCAAATAAAGACACACTCAGGTGATCATTCTGATTGACTTTATACAGTTTTCTTCTGGGGTCGACTGCAATTCCCTCTGCTTCTTTGTCCCACATATATTTCTCAGTAAAGATCTCATCTAACGTATTTATGCTTCACTTCCACTTTCTACGGAATAAGTAGGCTGAAATAATTGAGGTTTGATTTAAACATGAAAGAAAACTTTCCGTAAGTAACAATCAAATTTACTGTGGTCCAGCTTAGGTCTTCTATAATATCCTCTCATGACTTTTGTGGTATGTATTAGAAAAAACTTTCTGGGCTGTCATGGCAGCTCTGCTTTAGGATGTGCCTGAATATATGTATGTTTTAATACATATTAGCGTGCATGAAAAAAAGAATTGTTACAACAATTAAAGCATCTTTTCCTATCCTAAATGTAGGAAGACTGAATATAAAAAGCTTCTATCATTTCTTCCCTTTTCTGCAGATGAAAGGAGCATAGCCCAGTGACTTTTACCAGCTGAAAGTGGAGAGGGGCGCATTTCTTTGCTATATGATCCTGATGATCTGGACTCATCATCTGTGCAAATTCTAGGACTTCTGCAAATATGATAACGTGTTACTTGCTGCTGTTAAGGCTGGCATTTTCAAAAGGCTATACGCTTAAAAATAACACATCATTCCATATGGAGACTGGTATATATTTAGTACTTGAGAAACTTCAAGAGGAGCACTTACGTTGTGTCCATATTCTTTAGATGTCACAAGATATTTGGTACCCTTGTCTATCAGAAAAAAAACCAAAACAAAACACGAAACAACCAAAACAAAACCAAATGTTTTTTCTCCAGGTTATATGAGATCTGTTAAAAGGTTTTAATGTTAATTATTAGTTATTTGTTTAAAAAATGAGGATTTATGAAACTGTGAAAACATGGTAGAATAAATGAAATAGATATGTTATATGTATGGTGATAGTTCATCTTTTATGAACAGCCATTTTCTACTCAAAGAGAACAGAAAAAAAAGAGTTAATACACCTGTGAATCAAATTCAGCTTTCAGATGGTGCATGTGTGGCACCTTTCAGTCACCCATGTTTCATGCATGTAGCTGAGCAGAATTGAATGTGATGCTCATAGTTGTTAAACACTTTGTTGTGCAACACTAATTGCTTCAGAAAGGTAAATCCAAGTTACATCACTCATTTGCAGGTACAGCTTAACCTGTCAAAAGATTTTTCTGAATAGTTGTCTTCATGTGGCAAATTCCACATTAGATAGTATTTAAAATTGCTTTGAAGTCACTAGTTCCTTGTTTCCAAAAACTCCCGTGGGTGCAGGCTATTTAGCATTTTTCCTGGTGAAATTCATAGCATGCATTTTCTTTCTCTAGTATTTTTGTTTTTACAGTCCAGCCATGCAGTTCTAATTTAATGTTCAATTTGTATTAGACATTTCCTTTTCGTCATCAATAACTTCCCCAAAATTAATGAGACCATTTCTAAGGCATTTTGTTACCTGCTAATCATTTTGAGTAGCTACATTTCAGTACAGAAGTTCTAAAAAACAAATTTGCTGTTGTATCAGCATTAAGAATAGTAAGGATTGAAGAAAGCAAAAATTGCAGAAATGAAAAAAACTCTCATCTAGTAAGATCATGTAACAAATCAGCTGGGCTTTAGATAAATGATTTATTATTAAATTCAAACCTCTAATATGTTTGTGTGTTCTGAGTGTAGTTTACACTGGTTTGTTTTCCACTTAATTAGAAGCCTTACATTTCATCTTATTAATAATTAAAATCCCCTTGTCAAATTGTGTAAGATCATGTTGAACTAATATGTATATTTCAGAGGCAGAATAAAATCTCCCCTCATAGCCTTTCATATTCTTTCATTGCATTATGCAAAAATGACATTCTGCTTTTAATTTTGCTAGTGTGAAATAAGAAAACTTCAAATCGTCTTTCATTCCCGGTTGAGAAAGTTCTGGTTTCAAGAACTGCGATGAAGATAGTTCAACCACTATAGCCCACTGTTCGTAATTAAAAGTTAGCTATAAACAGAAATTCAGAATACCGGGCCAACTCAGCTTTATTAATGTAACAAATAAGAGAATAAAAGATAATAATCGGTCAATAATCAAAGCTTAAATTATATCCTGTCATCTCAGTTCTTGCTGCAGTGGTTCAACAGTTCAGAAGCAAAGCAGGCTCAAACACACTAAAGGAGACTGATTTGTACTCCATTTGTTTATTAGAGTTAAGTACACATTTTCCATCTCACAGCATTTTTCATCTGCCTACGCAAAGACCTAAAGTACCAATAGACTAAAATGTCAGTCACACAAGCCTTTGCTAATTAATGCCTTCACCAGAAAATGTCTGGCATTCTTAGGAAATCAGGGAGATATAGAACATAGAGATCATTCATATTTATATATATTAAAAAAAAAAAAAAAGGCAGGAAAAAGAAAAGCCCTTTAATCAGCTATTTAAAAAAGCTCCAAATCAGTCAGCTAGGCTAAAGGTCATGAAAATGTAGCTAGATCTAAGTAACCCTTGGTGACAAATCATCCCCCAAGCTTGTTGCAGTTTCCTGAGGCAGTGTAGAACATTTCGGAGCACACAAGCCAGGCCAGTAGGCTAAGCAATAGCATTAACCATTCAACCTTCACCATCTGTTATACATACAGCCAACCTGACAGTTGGGATGAAGTCGTTCTATATGTTTCCTTATTTCCAAGCACATGCTTTTTTCTCACAGAAGGCTTGCCAGAGAATACAAACTACTGTCATTGACAGCACCGGTGTATATTGTAAAGTAGTAGCATTGATTGGGAAATGGTAGTTAAGCTGTTCCCAGACTCTTGAGCATACCTGTCAGTAAAGCAGGGCCAGGGCGTGGTGATATTTGTTGGTCTAAGTATGGGACAGGGAATCAGGAATACCCTGTAATTCCACATTGATGCAGACTGGCTTTGTAGCCTGAGCTGATTTACTTGGCCCTCATTGCTAGAATTCCCATTTTCTTCCATGTCATTGATACATCCAGGCACTAAATGACTTGTCATACTATTAAATTAATCCGTAAACCCGATACACGTCTGTTCTTCTCTTGATAGATAGTATGAAATACTCTCTCTAAAGCATTACTATATAGAAATTGTTGCATGTGGTACTATAGTCAGAAAAATGCTTTTCTGCTTGTGCTTAAACATGCTGAATATGTATGCCGAATACCTTAGTTATGCAGCCTTCTTGTGATTCTTGCTATCAACAAGAGTCACTGAAGGATCAGGATAAAGCCTAAGAAGATTTTTTTAAAAAGTTTTCAGTGGGATCAGTTCCCCAGTGCAACTGAATTAGAGCCTAAATGAGTGCCAGTGTCAGTGCAAGGGAGAGAGTGGAAGTACACAGCTGGAGCTGAGCTGTCCTTTCCCTGGCAATCCACAGTTATCTCAGCTAAATGTGATGCTGAAACCACTACCTGAGAAAGCTGTTATGAATATGGAGGCATTTCCTGACTGTTGCCTGTGAGGCATTTATCCAACCACTTCTCATTCTAAAAAAATCTTGTAAAAATTGTTAGAAGTGAAATCCATAAGGGCAGGCAGAAATTAATCTAAATACTTTTGAAACACCTTAGTCATTTTAATGGGACAGAAATTGCTATTTGGTTCTGGTATAATGCATCCTTAAGAAAAAAAAAAAAATAATTAGAAAATGTATAGCAATGTCATCATTTAAAGTTCTGTACTTTTAATACAGTTGATGTTATTTCAGGGGTTATCCTAAACCTCTGACAACACTCCCTCTTCTTTTTTTTTTTTTTTTCTCCCTTCTGCCCCCACAACACTGGGGCAGGATCTGCTTCAGGGACAAAGGTTGCCCTTGTGATCTGACACATGAGTCACTGCAGAAGGATGGCACTGTCGGTGCCTGTACCCCAGGGAGCCCTTTGAGAGGATGGGTGGTGGTGTGTGAGCGATGTGGGAGCACCAGCACCACCAGGAAGCGGAGAGAGAGCAATTGCCAAAGGTAATTCAAAAGCAGGTGATTCCAGACAATCTGTGAAGATCCAAGAATGCTGGTACCCAAGCTACTGCAATTCTCACGTGCAGATTTGCTCCTCCACTTCCTTCTTGGCTTTTCCATGGAATGGGGTGATCTGCCCTTAGGCAAGCATTTCACTGCCAGAAATATTTCAAGGAATTGTTCTTCTCTGAATGCATATCCTACTCTCTCTAATTATGCATAGTATTTCACTGAAAGCTTTCTCAAAAGGTAGACATGAAGCATAAGATCTATTATGTCAACAGCCTGAAATACAGATACACTGAAACTGCTCATTGACATTCTGGGCAATCCAAATTAAGCATCCCCAGTAAATGATGCAATCAAAGGAACAAAAGCTGTAAAATGATTCAATGAATTTATAGTCCATGTAACCACTGGAAGACAAACATTTCTGCCTTGTACAAAAAGTAGAGACGTAGTTTATGCAAAGAGGTGGATCTGAAAAAATTTTAACACATCGTGGTGGTCTGCAGTTAGATCTTCAGCCTTCACTTGTAGCCACTAACTATATTTGTCAGTGAATTTCTCAGCAAATTATTGAACGTGATTTTACCTGGTTTCTTTTCCAGATACAATGTGGAGTTAT